AGCTTAATTACGAGATTAAGTGAACACGGATTTTGGTAATCCGTGTTCCGTTCATAATTAACGGAACACGGATTTTCGTGATCCGTGTTCGTAGTAAAATTACACTTACACCGATTTTCAGAATACGTGTTTCGTTAAAACACGGATTGTGAGAATCCGTCCATTTTATTTTTGTCCACAATTTTTTTTTTTGTTTTATATTAGTCCACTTATTTTTTATTTTTTTTAAATAAATAAATGATTCATTGATATTTTTAGTAAAAAAGAAAGATAAAATAAATAAATAAATAAATAAATAATACCTTTTGCGAAATTTTAACGAGATAGTTTTGAGATTAATGTTGATTGAACTTTGAACAAATAAACTAAAATTCTATATCCAAAAATTTCTTTTATTGGAAATGTTACCGTCTCTTTATAGAACCATTTCGCGGATTTATAACCGTTAAATCATTATGTAACCGTCGTGAATAGTTGATTTAACGTTATAAATTCGACCGAATGGTTCCATACCGGGACGATAAAATCTCCCTTTTTTTAGCAAATAAATAAAGGTAAAAAAAAAAAAGGTGTGGCTTTTGGCCCTGTCCATATTCCAAAAACGCATCCACTTATTATCCAGCCTTTTAACACTGCAAATTATCTGGTGTTGTGGGGTCACCTCTGCATGTGCTACAGCTCTCATCTCAACAATACTCCAATTTCCTACTCATCCATCCCTTGTGTCGTGTTTGTGTTTTTATTTTATTTTTTATTTTTTTAATATTAATTATTTTGGCACTTACCCTTCATCCTCTTCTTCGCATTTGGAATCCTATGGTACAAATTTCTGCAAATCTCGAGTAGACAGTTCATCTTTTTTCTTCCATTTTTGTTTTTTTGGCTCAAAAACTTCATTTTCTTTACTGAACTTTTCTCCTCAAGAAAGAAAGTTGCCTTAAGAAGCCATACTGTTTGTAAAGTTTCAAGCTTTTTCCATCTCTTAAGATCCCTCATTACTCGATTTTCTTGTTTTCTTCAATAGAATGAAGAAGACCCATTCAGGGCCAAAGATTCAATTTTTTGAATCACTCTTTCACGTTTTGCTACTGTTACCTGTATTTTACCCTCTTGCACACTCGCAGCCCGGCCCGAACGACGATGCTTCGGCCATGTTTGCGCTCAGGAAAAGCCTCAACCCGCCGGATGGGCTCCTGTGGGCCGACCCGGACCCGTGCAAGTGGGGCCGTGTCTACTGCTTGGAGAACAGGGTCACTCGGATTCAAATCGGGCATCAGAATCTCGCGGGCACTCTCCCGACCGAGCTTTCTTCCCTTACTCAGCTCGAGCGCTTGGAGCTGCAATGGAACAACATTTCCGGGCCTCTCCCGAGTTTAAAGGGTTTGAGTTCTCTTCAAGTTCTAATGCTTAGTCACAATCACTTTACTTTCATCCCTGCTGATTTTTTCTCCGGCATGTCCTCTTTGCAATCCGTTGAGATCGATAATAACCCATTTTCCGCGTGGGAAATACCAGAGAGCCTCAGAAATGCGTCGACCCTTCAGAATTTCTCGGCAAATTCTGCGAACATCACCGGCAAAATCCCGGCATTTTTTGGGCCCGATGCGTTTCCGGGCCTGACCACCTTGCATTTGGCTCTCAATAGCTTGGAGGGCGAGCTGCCACCGGGTCTCTCCGGGTCGCAGATCGAGTCTCTGTGGGTGAATGGGCAGAAACTTGGTGGAGGGATTGATGTTTTGCAGAACATGACGTTCTTGAAAGAGGCTTGGTTGCACTCTAATGGGTTCACTGGCCCTTTGCCAGACTTTTCGGGTTTGAAGAACTTGGAGGTTCTGAGTTTGAGGGACAATTCCTTCACGGGCCCTGTTCCTTCGTCATTGGTGAATCTCGAGTCCTTAAAAGTCGTAAACTTGACGAATAACTTGCTCCAAGGGCCAATGCCAAAGTTCAACAATACAGTTGCAGTTGATATGACCAATGATACTAACAGTTTTTGCCTGACAAAGCCCGGTGATTGCGACCCTAGAGTCAACATGTTGCTCTCAATCGTAAAATCCATGAACTATCCGAGAAAATTCTCCGAAAATTGGAAAGGAAACAACCCCTGCGCTGATTGGTTCGGAATCACTTGCAACATGGGGAACATAACCATAGTCAACTTCGAGAACATGGGCCTCACTGGCACCCTCTCCCCTAATTTCACATCCCTGAGGTCCCTCCAGAGACTGATCCTTGCCAACAACAACCTAACTGGCACCATCCCAGACGGGCTTGCCTCCCTACCGGGCCTCATAGAGCTTGATGTATCCAACAACCACCTGCACGGAAAAATACCAGCCTTCAGAGCCAACACGATTGTGAAAACCGGCGGGAATCCTGACATTGGACACGATAATCCCAGCTCGAACTCCTCAGCCTCATCCTCTGCAGCAAGCCCAGGCTCAGAAACCGGCCCACACAACAACCGCCGAAAATCCCGTAACATGACGGGTGTCATCATATTCTCCGTGATCGGAGGACTATTCGTCCTCTGCTTAATCGGGCTGACTGGCTTCTGCTTGTACAAGAGCAAGCAAAAGCAGTTCAGCCGAGTCCAGAGCCCGAACGCAATGGTGGTCCACCCTCGCCACTCGGGCGGGTCGGACAACGACAGCTTGAAGATCACGGTGGCTGGGTCCAGCGTGAGCGTGGGCTCCCTCAGTGAGACCCGCACTGGCCCTGCGGGCGAGTCTGGCGACATCCAGATGGTCGAGGCAGGGAATATGGTGATCTCTATACAGGTTCTGAGGAACGTGACGAACAACTTCAGCGAGGAGAATGTGCTCGGACGGGGTGGTTTCGGGACGGTTTACAAAGGGGAGCTTCATGACGGGACCAAAATAGCTGTGAAGAGAATGGAATGCGGAGTAATTGCGGGGAAAGGAACTGCGGAGTTCAAATCGGAGATTGCGGTCCTGACCAAAGTCCGGCACCGGCATCTGGTGGCCCTGCTCGGGTACTGTCTGGATGGAAATGAGAAGCTGCTAGTGTACGAGTACATGCCGCAGGGGACTCTGAGCAGGCATCTTTTTGGCTGGGGTGAGGAGGGGCTGAGGCCTCTGGAGTGGACTAGGAGGTTATCATTAGCACTGGATGTGGCGAGGGGGGTGGAGTACCTGCACGGGCTGGCCCACCAGAGCTTCATACACAGAGACCTCAAGCCATCGAATATACTTCTGGGGGATGACATGCGAGCCAAGGTGGCGGATTTTGGGCTAGTCCGGCTTGCGCCTGAGGGTAAGGGGTCGATTGAGACGAGGATAGCGGGGACCTTTGGTTACCTTGCGCCTGAGTACGCAGGTAAGACAAATAGACTCTCTGTTGAGCTTCCGAATGGTTATTTTCTAAACTGGTTTGAAACTTTTCATATAAAACTTGGACTGATTAGCTTGGAGGGGCTTGTGAAAAAAGCTGCCTTCTTTGTTTTGGCATAGCTAACCGTATTTCCTTCATTCATAAGTATGTTGCATTTCTGTGTTATGTTCTTAATGCTGCCGGGCAACTTAGTATTATTAAAACAAACAATTTTATGGCTATATACTTGGTTTATGGAAAAATCAATCTAATAAGGCCCCTTCTTGTGCCAGCACTTTCATCTTTTATCAGCTGCTATGCAGTGTAGCGTCTTTGAAAATATTCAAATAATTGAGTTGTATAGCTTTACTGCTGTGATTTGTTTGTGAGCATGGTTTCAGATACAAACACAAATAGTTTTTCACTTTTTTCATTTGATTCGCCTTATTGGTAAGACTTGAGCCTTGCGTATTCAATTGGTAAAGCTCGAATTTCACTGAAACTTGCTTGCATCTAAAGTTCCAATTTTGAATACTCAATGACCTTTTGGTTATCCATCTGCTACTTCACATCTTTCCAAAGTAAAAAACAGAAGTTAAACAAAACAACATTTTTGCCCTTTTACAGTGACTGGGAGAGTGACCACCAAGGTCGATGTCTTCAGCTTTGGTGTCATCCTGATGGAGCTCATCACGGGCAGGAAGGCCCTGGACGAGACCCAGCCCGAGGAGAGTGTCCATCTTGTCACGTGGTTCAAGCGAATGCACCTCAACAAAGAGGCTTTCCGAAAGGCTGTGGACCCGGCCATCGACCTCGACGACGACACCCTGTCAAGCATCGGCACTGTCGCTGAGCTGGCAGGCCACTGCTGCGCGCGTGAGCCCTACCAGAGGCCCGACATGGGTCATGCAGTCAACGTGCTCTCCTCTCTGGTCGAGCTCTGGAAACCATCGTCCGAACCGGGGCCCGAGGACATTTACGGAATCGACCTCGAGATGTCTTTGCCCCAGGCGCTAAAGAAGTGGCAGGCATTCGAGGGGCGGACACACGCAGACTCGTCTTCCTCGTCTTATCTGCCGAGCATGGACAATACTCAGACAAGCATACCCACGAGGCCGTTCGGGTTTGCCGAGTCCTTCACCTCAGCTGATGGCAGGTGAGAGGGGGAAAGTTTCTCATGGTGAGACTGGATTTTTATGTTGATTACTTGATTGGGTGAACTTTGTTCCTTTAGTGTAGCTTAATTTGGGCCTGGTGCTTTCTTTAAGGTTGAATGTTTTGGAAGCCTTATGACAGACAGGCCTGGTCAGATTGAAAATTTTCTATTTGTATCTGATTGTGTTTGTGTATATTTTTGTATCAACCTTTTGACTTGTGGGCTTAATATATTATTAGGGCCATTTTGGATGTCTGGAATCAGTTTTTGGTTGGGTTGATATTGGATTGGAATGTGAAGTAAAAAGGCTAAAGTGTGCTTGATCCACTTGTGATGTGTTGGAGATATTCTGTTGGTGATGACTTTAGTTGCATTTTTATGATAGCCTTTATAATGTTGTGATTTGTGTGCTTAGTTGGTAGTGATACTTTTGTCACATTTTATGAAGAAAGTGTTAGGAAAATGCTACGGTCCGTTACGGAACTATTCCGTCGGAGTTTATAACCGTTAAATCATCATGTAACTATCAGGGATAGTTAATCTAACGGCTACAAACTCTGACGGAATAGTTCCGTAACGGGACCGTAGCATCTCCCCAGTTTATAATCTATGTTGTAGACTTAATTATAGTGTTTTAGTATTTATTTGTACACACTTTGTCGAAAAATTATAGTTTTTTGTTATTTATTTGCACACTTTGTCGAAAAAGCACATTAAGAAAAATAAAAGAAGAACTTTGTTACATTTCTAAAAAAATAGATTTTGTTACATTTCTAAAATTAGATTATAATTTTACTGCTATTTATTAATATATATTTTGTCAAAATTGTAATTTAACTCACATAAAAATAAATAAAATAAAATAGTATAGGGATAGAACAGAATTACTCACGTGTTTATGGTAAGATATAGTGCGAGGTTAAGATAATTACACGCTACTCGAATTGGCACAAGGGTGGAGTCGCTCTTAATAATTTAAAACGAGTACACTCGAGATGTCAATTGACACCCTAATCACTCTTCATAACTTAAAACGAGTATACTCGAGATGTCAATTGACACCCTAATCACTCTTCATAAACGACACCACAATACACAAGAAATGTCAAATGACCCCATAAGAACCAGAACATAATCTCCATTGAATTAGACAACCAACTAACGGGTACCAACACCGAAAAAATAACTCATCAAGAAGACTAAAGAAACTCCATAAAAGAGGATAACAAACCAAAAATAAATAAAAATAAAAAATAAAATAAATAAAAATACACACTTACAAACAATATAATATAATATAACAACACATAAAAGTGGTAGAATAATATTCTTTTAATAAATATGCATACTATCATTCATTCAAGATTCTAAAAGGAGGCGTATAATTTTCTTTTTATAAATATGCATACTAATTACTATCATTCAAGATTCTAAAAGGAAACGTTGGATAGACGCAGACGAGGGCCTAGTTCGCATGAGTGGGATTATACCGGGCCTAGATGGAGTTGTAAAAATATTAATAATTTATTTATAATTTAAAAAATATATTTTTATAAAATATACTTGAATAAATATATAGATTTTTCAATAATTATATGACTTTTACATTATTCATTTTTTCAATAATTATTGTACATTTCATGTACAAAAATAAAAATAAAAAATAATTTTTTTTATTATACCTTGAGAATAAATTCAAAAATATAATAAAATTACAAGGACGCGTAGGTTGTTGCCTAGATCGTCTAATTAGCTTAGGCGTGACTAACTTTGTAGACGTCTGGACCACCTAGACGGCGCTTAATTCTCGAGCGTAGACGTGGCCAGGTGCCGGGTCCGGGCCCGGCCCGGCCCGGCCCGCCGGGCCACGGGTCCGGAAATGGTGGAACCGGGACCGGCCCGGTTGGAACTAAGGGCCGGTTCGTAGAACCGGCCCGAACCGCCGGTTCACCGGCCCGGCGGTTCACGGGCCGGTACGGCCCTTAAAAAAAGCAAAAGAAATGACCCGGCCCGGCCCGGCCCGGCGGGACCAACAAAAAAAACCCGTGACCCTTAACCGGACCGGATTGGCCGCGGTCCGGTTCTCGAACCCGGCACTGTTCATGCCGGTACCGGTACCGGGCCGGGCCGGGCCGGTACCGGGTCACGGGTCGGGCCACGGGCCGGGCCGCCCGTGGCCATGTCTACTCGAGCGTCTAGAAAAGCTGTCTAGACGGATACATAGTATATATGAACATTTTTTAGTTTTTGTAAAATGATCTTTCATTTTATAATATATAAAATAGTATAGGTATAGAAGATGGTATAGGGTGGTTATAAGATACTATGACTAAGTTTGGTAAACTCAGCTGATAAGTTATCTGATAACTTATAAGTAAATTTTGAGTTTATAGCTAGCTAATAGCTTATGGCTGGTGGCTGAAAAACTAGCTGATGATATGATAGAAGTGTTTAGTAAAATTAGCTGAAATAAAAATTTCAACAGTCTTATTTGAAAAGCTACCAAATAAAGCTTATGAAATAAGTTACGTCGAACTTTTTTAAAAAATTCGTCCTACCAAACCAAACTTATTTGCATACAAAAAACTTATAAACTAACCAAATAAGTATATACATGCTAGTTTATGGTGCTTACCAAACAATCTCTATATCTTAACTAATAGCTTATTAAAACTATTCCATCCACTGTGAAAAGTATAGATCTATACTTTTAAAAATAGTCACGCTCTTCTGTTTACGATGAACATTGATTAATATGCTCATCAATTGATGTATCACAATATTAACATATGTAGGGAACTATATAAAAAATACCAAGGTATGTGAGGACACACAGTTTCCTTAAAACAGATTCGCCTCGTATGTGCGTCTGTTTCTCAGGATACAACGGGAAAATTGAATCAAATTCGGCAATGCCTGGACCAAAATACTTAAAAGAAAAATGGAGGAAAAGCCTTTAGGTGTGTTTTTTTTTTCTTGGTTCCGTATATACTTTCCTTCACAATAAGACAAGTCTTATATAGTCATAAGACTAATAAGTCACTTCATTAATTAAATCATTTATTACAAACTTAATAAAGTTAAGTTAAATGTAGCATTTATAAAACCAAGCTCCAAGTTTTAAAATGAAGACAGACGGTTTCAAATTAATTCATTAACTAAATTCCATTCAATACTTTTCCAACAACATATACCATAAAGAGACGTGTAATTGGAAAATTACGAAATCTTGATATGTGGCTGGTAAGAACATTTTTATGTGCTCATGTTGGGCATGTGAACAATTGCACTATTATGTCCGTTCTCCCGCCCAGGTGGGACAGATATTAATATGCCACCGTGACAAGAAATTAACATTCCATTCACGATAGACACGTGGTTGAATGGTTGTAAAATTTTAACACATGGCTTATGGACACCGTGGATACCAATTAGGGTGTGTTTGGTAAAACTAGCTGATAAGCTAGCTGATAGCTGATAAGCTAGCTTATAGCTTATATGTGATAAGCTAGCTTATAGCTTATAGCTTATGACTTATAGCTTATAAGCTAGCTTATATGATAAAAGTGTTTGGTAAAAATAGCTTATAAGCTAGCTGAAATAGAAAATTCAACGAGCTTATTTTGAAACGCTACCTAAACAAGCTTATCAAATAAGCTCGAGCTTTTTAAATAAGCTCGTCCTACCAAACAGGGCTTATTTAATATAGGAAGCTTATAAGCTAATCAAATAAGCTATAAGCTAGCTTATATGTCATACCAAACATACCCTTAATATTTCCACCAATTGATCTGACGGGAGATTAACGTATCATACATTGAAAATCTCTAATCGTAAAATTAATTTAACAACCACCCCGATAATTGAACTACCAGTGCTTGTTCTATTACCAAGACTAAATTAATTTATTAAAAATTGGAAATAATCGTAAAATTGATTTAACAACAACTTTGATGATTGAACTACCAGTGTTAATTGTTGTGTTACGTACCAATACTAAATTAATTTATTGAAAACTGGAAATAATATTTGTCAGTGTAATATGATTGTTGTAATTAACTTAGAAGATTATATTTATTAATTTCTTGAAAGGTTTTTTTTCATATTAAAATGCTATTTAAAAAATAATAATATTTGAAATGTGAATTATTATTATTATTATTAGAAATTTACGCGGATGAACACGCCTAACATAACATGATTTTGGTGTTATACAAGTGGATAGTTAATAGGAAAGGAAGGCAATACATGTCATATGGGCTCTATAACTGAATAATGACCAACTATATAAAACATCACACGCTTCTAGAGAATTTTTGACTGAATACGAGATGACATGTCCATAGTCTTCCATATGTTATACCTATAATAATAATACAATGCATCCATCTAGCAATAAAATAGGTTGGCTCAAGTGGTAAGCAGTTTAATGTCGCTTAAGTAATGTCTCGAGTTCGAGACTTTGTGGATGCAGAAAACCTTTGTTGAGAGACTCACACACCACTGCCAGGTGTGCGACCTGGGTCGACCAACGAATTAGTCAGGGCATAACTCCGGATGACTGGCTACCAAAAAAAAAAAA